ATACAAGTTTTAACCAAAAACCTAAACATTAGTTAAATATCAGTGTACGCATGCTGTTCCCAATACCGCTGGTTGTTTGCAGCACTGATGGTGTTATTTGCGAGAGCTGCAGCTGATCATAATATTTTATACAGTTCAGCAGCATTCTTCCCAATGCTCCTACGACTCTAGGAACTACTGAAATGTATTACATCCATCTATTGCTGGATCTGTGGATTTTGTTAATTTTTCTAATTCTGTATCTTCAGCTCTGCATCCCCTAAATTGCAATGCCAATTACCCAGAAATTTCTTGTTCTACTGCTGTTATGTCTAATGTATTGTGCCCTTCTGTTGGTGTCTGTCTGAATCTGAAAGGACCACAAGATCTTGACTTGATTATTTCCATATGAACCTACTTGGCAGTTAAGATCTAGCCAGGGGGCCCTTCTGAAAGAGCCGTCCCTCAAGGAGGCAAGAGGGATGGCTTGTAGACAAAGGGCCTTTTCGGCAGCTGCCCCCAGACTATGGAATGCCCTCCCGACTGAGATTCGTCTGGCGCCGACGCTGGTGACATTTTGGTGCCAGGGCAAAACCCTCCCGTTTTAGAAGGCTTTTAATTGAAATAATATGAACTGTGGGTCCTGATGGAAATTTTTAGAGTATATATTTTAATTGTATTTTGATTATTTTATCTTTTTAATTGTATTTTGTTGTAAGCCACCCAGAGGCCTTTGGGTAGTGTGGGCGGCATATAAGTTAAATAAATAAATAAATAAATTTCCTGATACCTTCTCTACCTGATGTCTTGAATGCCAGTAGATAATATATATACATAATGATCAGTATAGTAATTTCTCAACTCTATCATATATAGCTTTGAACATTCACAGACGAAGTGTGACACCGTTTCAGCTTTTTCTTGGCAGAGTCGACATTTACTGTTTATACTAAGTCCTTGAATTTTAGTTTTTGTGGCTGGTTCTTGAAGGCACAGTGTGGAGTTAAGCTATTGACTTCTCTCTCTTCAGCCAAGTATGCCAACTCACTGAGCTACCCAGCCAGCTTTCTAAAGCCTTAGGCAAGCTTATTCTTAATCTCAAAATCCCTAGAAATAAAATGGGGATAATGAGAAAACTGTATCTTTAAAGATTGCTGTAAAAATATTGAAATTATCTAGACTCTAACTTATGTAATTTCAACACTTATGCAGATCACACACACACACACACACACACACACACACACACACACACACACACACACACACACATAAACTTTGTTCTTTTGCTATGTTATAGACCACTGGTTCTTAACCTTGGGTTACTCAGGAGTTTTGGGCTGCAACTCCCAGAAGCCTTCACCACCAACTGTGCTGGCTGGGGTTTCTGGGAGTTGCAGTTCAAAAACATCCGAGTAACAAAGGTTAAGAACCACTGTTATAGACTTTCACATGGCTGACATATTCAGTAATTACTTGCCTGATGTGTTTAGTTAAGTCTTACTTCCTAGTAAATCAGTTTAGGATCGCAGAGTAAGTCAATCTGTTGTTTTCTCTGGTCTGACCTGACAAGGGCCCTTTACACTAAGAATTTCACAATATCCTTTTTATCTCATATAGGTAGATGGAGTCTTTGTAGACTTGCCTTTCTATGATCAAGACAAGGTAAAGGCCTACATCAGTGGAACTCATGTCCTTGTGAAGACCAAGTTTGATCTTACGGTGGCTTTCAGCTGGAACAGACTCATCTACATCACAGTTCCCAGAAGCTATCTCAACGCAGTGTGTGGCTTCTGTGGCAATGACAATGGGGAACCTGATGATGATCTGATAATGAAGGATGGGCTCCCGGCTCCCAGTGTTCTCCAGTTTGCTGAAAGCTGGAAGATAGAAGATACTCCTGGTTGTGTGAATGGATGCACAAGCAATTGTACAGTGTGTAATGAAGCACAGAAACAAACCTACCAACATAACCAGTACTGTGGGATCCTCTCCAAAAGGGACGGGCCATTCAGGCAGTGCCATGATGCCATTGACCCAGCACCCTACCTTGACAACTGTGTCTCTGATGTCTGTCAGTCCAAGGGACACCATGACACTCTCTGCAATGCCATCAGTGCCTATGTGATAGCTTGCCAAGCTCAGGGCATCCAGATTGAGCAATGGCGCTCAGCCTCGTTCTGCAGTAAGTAGTGGTTCTCCTTCAGCGTGCTGAATAAATGGCCTTGACATGATGTTAAATGCATCTTTACACATTTAGCATGCTGGTGTTTTTTGTTTGTTTGTTTGTTTTAAGTCAGTAGCAACCTGGAGAATTAGTCATTCAACTCTTTCTAAGACAAAAATGTAGCTTGAGGCATTGGCATCAAGGAATGTGCACTAGCTTTGGTCAAAACCCAACCTATTACCTGAATCACCTGGATTTGAACCAGTTTGTATGAGGCTGAGATGAAAGCAGAATGAACAGATTCAGTTCTGGGGCAAAGCAAAGCAAACCTACAAATGGATTTGGAGTCAAAGTAGATTGGGCAGAAATTGGCTTTTTTAAAAAAGTGAAACTTTTTTAAAAAAAACCTTCAAAATTTAAAGGAGCCTAGTAACAGGGATGTCGTGGCGCTGCGGGTTAAACCGCTGAAGCCTCTGTGCTGCAAGGTCAGAAGACCAGCAGTCGTAAGATCGAATCCACGTGATGGAGAGAGCTCCCGTCGCTTGTCCCAGCTCCTTGCCAACCTAGCAGTTCGAAAGCATGCAAATGCGAGTAGACAAATAGGTACCACCTCGGTGGGAAGGTAGAACGGTGTTCCCTAGTCATGCTGGCCATGTGACAACGGAAACTGTCTTCGGACGAGCGCCGGCTCTACGGCTTGGGATGAACCCCTAGAGTCGGACACGACTGGATTAAAAATGTCAAGGGAACTGGTGCCAGCTGAGATCTGGAAGATCTATTATGGCTCTGAATTTCATGTGTCCAGATCTCGGCTTCAGAGGTTTGCTACCAGGCAATTCCCATATGCTGGGGATTTGGTTTTTCTAATCCACATCAATGGGAAGCTACCAGTCAAATTGCAAATCCAGGACACACATAGGGCACAAATGCCTCTAGACCGAATTGGGATCCATTTCAAAGACCCAAATTTGCCTACAAACCAAATCAGGGGACCCTTGCATAGACCTCATTGATGTGACAACTGTCTCCATGGTCTTCTTTTCTAGGTCCATCTTGCCCACGTAACTCACACTATGATCTCTGTGGGAATGGCTGCCCTGTCACCTGCCATGGCCTCTCGGCTCCCGATGGCTGTGCGATGTCCTGCAGGGAAGGCTGCTACTGCAATGCCGGCTTCGTCCTGAGTGGAGATCGATGCGTCCCCATCGGGGACTGCGGTTGTGTATATCAGGGAAAGTACTATAAGAAGGGAGATCAGTTCTTCTCCACACCTTCCTGCCAGGAAAGATGCCAGTGCAGAGACAATGGAGCAGTGGAATGCCACAAAACAACCTGTGGGGCACAAGAGGAATGCAGGGTGGAGAATGGTATCCAAGGTTGCCATCCCGTTGGCTGTGGCAAATGCAGCGTGATTGGAGGAACCTACCTGACCTTTGATGGACAGATCTTCAGCTTCCCAGGTTCCTGTTCTTACACGTTGGCCAAAGTCTGCAGCAGTGAAAGTGGGCTTGCAAGATTTTCAGTGGTGATTGAGAATGAAAGCTTTGGAAAAGGCAAAGTTGGGTCAAAGACGGTGGTAATCACTGTCCACGGTTATGTCCTCACTCTCGCGAAGGGCATGACCTGGGAAGTCCTGGTAGGTTCCAATTTTTGTCCATTTATTGCTATAGTTCCGAACTTTTGAGTTCCCAGATGTTTCTGGACTACAACTCCCAGAAATCATGGCCACCACATCCAGCAGGGACCCGCAGTTGGGAACCACTGATTTATGAAGTGAAAAGACTTTTCTTTCCTGTCCAAAGGTAGATACCTCTTTGAGCCTCAGGCCAGCTCTACTATCAAGCAGGGAGCAATAGCTGCCTCTGGCAGCAAATGTAGGGGTCAGGGGAAAAAAAGCCCCATCACTTCCTCCACGTTCTTTAAGCTACATAGCCTGCTACCCCAAAGAGAGCATTGCCCCATTATCAACGTAGAATTCAAGCACCAGACATGTTAAATGTCATATGTATGGAACTGGAAGGGGGCCCCACCATCTTGGGAACACTCTGGTGATAGTCTCTCACCTCGTTTAAAAAGAAGGCGAAGATGAAGAGTGGAACAAAACTATTCATGAAAGTTATTTACATTCCCAAGAGAGGCTGCTGCTTTCCATTGGGTAGCACGGGTCTTCTAACAGCATTCCCTTTCCAATTTGTAAGGTCAATAATAAAGGTAACTCTGTGAAATGGAAACTGTGGCATTTCCAGGTCCAGATGTTCAGTGCTGTTTGTGCTGCTGGATTTTTCTTCAAAAGGAAAATCTCTCCAAGGCATTTGCTTTGATGGCAGTTTTTCCACATAGGCTGGTGCTGGTAGCACCGCCAAGTCAGAAGTCAGACGAAAGCTTGGCCCGAGTCATTTTGCTGCTTGAGACAGAGTGACACATTGCATCCCCTTCCCAAAATCAAGGTACCCCAGTCTAGCCAAGTTATTTAAGCACCTGAAACAAAAAAAATCTCACAAACACTTCTCTATTTTCCTGGCGGTCGAGATGCAATTATAATAAATTAAAGAACTTGCCACCCTTTTACAAAATACTCCAGATTTGCTGCTTTGCTTTATCTAATGACTGTATTCGCCCCCATCAGACAGAGGGTTCATAGCTATTTCTGCTTTGAATTTTTTCATTACAGCCTATTGGAATAAAGTGCACACATGAATTACATGTGCATCTTCTGTCCGTATTCTTGGAGGTCAAGTTTTGCCAGAGCTTGGAAAAATAACCTTTTGAATGACAGTTTTCAGGGTCCTTCAGCCAGGATATTCATTGACTGTGATAACTGGAGAATTTTGGGAACTGCAGCCCAAAAAAGTAACATTTGCAAGCTCTCCTGTGTAACTTGGTGTTAGGTGTTAGTTTGTATGATGTTGCAAAACGTAGAGGTTCACAGCAGCTGGTTGGTTGGCTGGCTGTTGTCTCCTGTCACCTTGTATCATGGAATCACGTGAATTGCATTGAACATACCTTCACATTAATCAGATGGTCACCATATATTTACCTCCTTGGTTGGGACAGGTGGATGGAGAGGTCTACGCCCTGCCAGTGGTGATAGAGAAGAAACGAGTTTGGGTAAACCAAGAGGGGAAGAATATTGTGGTCCAGACAGATTTTGGCCTCAAGGTCCTCTATGATTCCTCCCACCATATCCTGGTGGATCTCCCCACCACTTATCAAGGACATGTGTGTGGCCTGTGTGGAAACTTCAATGGTGACAGGACAGATGAGTTCCAACTGCCCGATGAAACGAGCACCAGGAACGTGACAGAATTTGGAGCATCTTGGAAGGTCTCTAGTAACGATGCCGACTGCTCCGATGGCTGCAGCGAGAGTTGCCCCTTGTGCAAATCCATCAGGATGAGGCCATATCAGGATGAGGCCTTTTGTGGGTTGATCCAAGCTGAATCGGGTCCTTTCAGTGACTGCCACCGCCTGGTGAAGCCTGCTGAGTATTTTGACCGCTGTCTCTACGAGATGTGTGCTGCGGATGGGGCAAAGGAGAGCCTGTGCCAGAGCCTTCAGGCCTACATGGCTGCATGTCAAGCAGCTGGAGCTAACGTTGAAGTCTGGAGGACATCCTCTTTCTGTCGTAAGTTTAATAAAAGATTTGGTTCTCCTACAGCCATGGTATGAATGGATAGATATATGTACTGTACTTTAGTCACAGTACTTCAAAAAAAGCATACATTATGAAAGGTTGTCATCTAAATCAGTCAGACCAAGCAGTGTGAAACAGTCACAGTGGTGCCTCGCAAGACGAATACCTTGCAGAATGAAAACCCCGCAAGACGATTGGTTTTTGTTATCGCTATGGTGCCTCACAAGATGGTTTCTTCTATGATCATGCTTTGCAAGACTTTTTTTCTGAGGCCAATGCCTTGCAACGTGAAACAGTCACAGTGGTGCCTCGCAAGATGAATGCATCGCGGAACGAAAACCCCGCAAGACGATTGCTTTTTGCTATCACTATGGTGCCTTGTAAGACGGTTTCTTCTATGACCATGTTTCGCAAGATGTTTTTTTCTGAGATCAGCGAGGTTCCCTATGAGAACCTCGCAAGATGATTTTTTTGCAAGACAGTGCTACTCACTGAACTAATTACATTCGTCTTGCGAGACACCACTGTAGTATTAAAATTTAAGAAAAAATATGTCATTTACATTCATCTTGCGAGGCACCACTGTAGTATTAAAAATTAAAATTTAAGAAAAAATATCAGTTAAATTTAAAGTTAATGTTACATTTTAAAGATTGGAATTGCACTAAACTGGAGTTTTCTGTGTGGTTACCTTTCAACACTCCACAGTTTTTTCTGTTTTTACTTCCATTTCGTTGCTTACACCTGCTTCCCGAGAGCCAGTTTGGCGTCATGGTCAGAGCATGGATTCTTAATCTTTAACCTTCCAGCTACTTTGGACTTCAGTCCCCAGAGTGCTGTAAGAATGATATTATCAGGCAGAGTTTCTAAAAATCTAGAGTCCAATTGTTGAGTTAGACTAGAGCTTGCGAAACTCAGCTTCAAATCCTCAGAGTAGTACAAAGCTTGGTGTATTATCTTGGGCCACTCCGTCTTTCTTAGCTTAAGCTACTTCACCCAGTTGCTGCCATGCTATACTGAAGGGGGCAGACCCATCTATGGAAGCCTGAGCCCCTTGGAGGAAAAGTGAAGTAATCAAAATAATTAAGCCCACCCACCCCTGTCCTAAGTCTTCTCACATCCTTGGGTTGATCTCTTTAGTCACTCTAGTTCTGTCTCTTCCAAATGCTTTGCCTCTTACTTGCTCAAGCTTTTCTATCTGCTCTTTGCCTAGATTTAGCACAAATAAAATTTCTGTTGTCTGTTCCATCCCTTTCCAATGACATTAGGATAGCAGGGCTACCCATTGTCCATGGGTTGACCACTACCATGTCCCTTAGGATGTTATAAGAGAAACAGTACAGACACCTTTACCTGTGTTATACAGTACTACTCCTGTATCTGAGGGATCAGTATCTACGGTTTCATGTATCCACGGTCTGAAAATATTAAAAACATTACATGAAAAAAGCCAGAAATGTGTTTTTCCATGATGTAATTACCAGAACTGGCCACTAGAGGGAGCCATAGCCTATGTACTATGTGTATATGTGTTTTTCCATGATGTAATTACCAGAAACGGCCAGTGGAGGGAGCCATAGCCTATGCTATGTGTACAGTTTGCTGTTTACTGCAGTTTATGGCATCTACTGGGTGGGTGGAGGGGAGAAGGCCTTAGAGCAGATCTTTCCAGATACTGCAGTCCTACTGTATAACTAATTCTTTATATCCTCCATGGAAGCATGCAGATCTAAAGACCTTCAGCTGGCTCTGATAGTCCTGTGTTTCTCTTCTCTCTTTCTCTCCAGCCCTCACCTGCCCAGCCAACAGTCATTATGAACTGTGCACCAGGTCCTGCGATATCAGCTGTGCTGGCTTATCCGCTGCCCCACAATGTACCACAAAATGTTTTGAAGGCTGCCAATGTAACCCAGGCTATGTGTCGGATGGACGAGGCTGTGTGCCTATGGAGGAGTGTGGCTGCATGCACGAGGGACGCTACATCAAGGTGTGTTGTGGATTTCGAAGAGTTATACCATTAGGAGGGGGAGAAGGAGGAGAGGTAGATTAAATAGCTGGCTGAAAGCCACCAGTGTGTTACATTTAGAGTAGGCCAGTTTGCATGAATGGGGAACTGGTGAGTCAATTCCTCCAAAAGTTCCATTGACTCAAGGGACCTGCTCTGCTTCTGATTTATTATAGGGTTTCACCCACTGTAAATTGATGAACATATGCAGCTTGTGATAACTGAAGATGAAAATTTACAGCATGTGAACTAGAATGTCCAGAATTTCCAGCCAAAATGTTCACGATTCCTGAGCACTGTAGACTTCAGCACAGGAGCTTAATACAAAATGCTATGTTTTTTCGGAACGACGAAGCCAACTCTGCTTCCATCTGAATTAAGATGATTTTTTCCTCATTTCCAAGCACAGAGATACTCATGTTTTTCTTCTTCTTCTTCCTGGGTTTGGGAATTTCCCCCTTAGGCTGAGGAAACTGTCATCTCCAAGGACTGCTCTGAGAAATGCTCCTGTCACGCCTCTGGCCGTCTCCTCTGTGAAAGAATCAGCTGCAGGAAAGGGGAGACGTGTGCCCTCAAGAATGGCGCCCGGGGCTGTGTGAAGCAGGAAGGCCAGTGTACACTGACTTTAGGAGCCCAGCTCACCACTTTTGATGGTGCCTCAGGAGAGATTCTCTACCATGGAGCCTATGAGGTGGCATCTCTCTGTGACGCCATGTCCCGTGACTGGTTCCGGGTGGTGGTGGATGTGAGAGACTGTGGCGAGGGTGAGATGACAGCTGGGGCCGCAGTCTATGTCTTCTTCCGAGAGGCCTTTATTGCCATTAACAGGAACAAGGAGGCTTGGGTAAGAAAGTCTGGCGAGATACTGCCTATCATGTGAAATAAATAAATTCACCAGAATGTTTTCTTTTTGTAGGACCAAATTATCTACTTGTTACAGAGTTTTGAATTTCTGGTAAAATTCCCTTTGTTACACAGTGGTGCAGAAACTCACAGAGGAGAATAGCTGCAAGTTGTCCAGATAGTTCATCCCTTTCCCATTAACTGGCACTCTGAGACAATTGTAGAAGAAAGAATAAAATTATTTCTTTACTTACAGTTGTGAACAGATCAACAGCAAACAAATAGCCAGCTTCCAACAGACTAAATAAAGGGAAAGAGCACAGAGTAGAGAGACAGGGCTCTCTTTTGAATTCAGAGGTGGGAAGGAACTATTGTTAGTTCTGGATAGACTGACGATCAACACCAACACAGAAAAGTCCCTCCCAGCCACACCTCCTATCCTCAGCGTGTGAGGTTGTCAAAATTCCAACAGTACCTTCATGTGACTAACACACCACAGGGGGGTGAAATTCTCTCAGTTTTATTGTTGTTGTATTTCTCAGGGTTAGAGTTAATGAGCACAGAAAAGTCCCTCCCAGCCACACCTCCCATCCTCAGCGTGTGAGGTTGTCAAAATTACAACAGTAGCTTCATGTGACTAACACACACAGAGGTGTGAAAATCTGTCAGTTTTATTGTTGTTGTATTTCTCAGAGTTAGAGTTAATGAAATCTAGCTCCCTATCTGTCTGTCCTATTTACAACCCACATTCTTCCAATGAGCCGAACATTTATATGTGGCTTCCCACGGTATCCCACCACAATCCCGTGAGGTAGGTCGGGTTGAGGATAAAGATTGGCTGAAGAGAATCTACTCAGTTTCATGGCTCATTGGGGTCTAGAACTCAGATCTCCCCTAGCACATGGACTAATTTTTTTCATTGCTCACTGTATGCAATTTCATTTCTCCTTCTTTCTTTCTTTGTTAATTTTCTTCCTTATATCACTGGATCTCAGCTTTGGGTCCCAGATGTTCTTGGACTACAACTCCCAGAAATCCTGGCCAGCACAGCTAGTAGTGAAGGCTTCTGGGAGTTGAAGTCCAAGAACATCTGGGGACCCAAGTTTGGAAGCCATTGCCTTAGATCTCTATCCACGTTTGCCTCTTATTATTCCATGATTCCAAACCACCATTTAAAAGCAGGGTGGATATTATCTGGCCCTCTAATGTTGTTGAACTATAGCTTCCATCATCCTCTATCACTGGGTGTGTCAGCCAGCCCAACAGCCCAATCTGGAGGGTCACAAATTGCCTACCTTGGCTTAAAGATCAAAGAGTCTAGCGATCATGATATCTGCCATCCTTTTTCTCTTCCTGAACATGACAGGTGAATGGCCAGCCGGTACAGCTCCCAACAGTCATCTCTGGAATTGTGTCTGTGAGTCTCACCGAGGAGGTGGTCTCCATCAGCCGTGGAACTGCTCTTCAGGTTCTCTTTGGCCTCCAAGGGGAAGTGACAGTGAAAGTCAAAGACAGTCTGGCAGGCAAACTCTGTGCATCCTGTGGGAACTTCAATGGTGACAGCTCCGATGACCTGATACTACCCAATGGGAAGGTTGTGGAGAATATTGCTGAGGTTATTGATGCATGGAAAGCCCGAGACTTTCTCAGCTGGTGAGTGGTTTTGCAGTTCCTTGCTTGCTTCCTTCCTTCCCTAGACCAAAGGTGGGAAAACCTTTCCACTGTCTAGGGTAGCATCCCCTTGTGGGCAATCTATCAGCGGCTGCTGGCCAGCCAGAACTGTAACTAGCCCCAACTGGCATGCAGCCACAATGAGCACCATCTCCCACTCATTCCACCCTGACACATTGAATGGGAGCGCTCACCCCAAAAAAATGAGGAGGAGGAGGATATGGTGCCACCTCAATTATGAGTTCACGGTTTCCTAAAAATAAGGAAACGAATAGGAGGTATTGCTATTTATTTTCCTAACACCCATCAATAGAGTTACCCCTATGCTTTGGTACATTCTAAATTGTAATAGCCTAGGGCAAAACCCCAAGTCACTCCACCCTACCTTTTTATGTAGGCATTCTTCAGTCTGGAGAGACGATGGTAACGTGCTCTGAATAGAGGTCTTGGAACAGCGTCTAGTGTGGTTGAGAAGGCCAATTTGAGAGTGACCATCCCTTCCACACTGGAGACAAATCCAATCTGTCCCCTGTCCAGCTCCCTGATTTTGCTGCTTTTGTGACTTCCTCTTTGCCTCGGCCTGCTGGACAAGTGCCTCTTCAAATTGGGACCCTACCTATGGTCTGCCTTATGCCAAAAGTGGGCAAGGATGAAGCCCATGAAGTGAGGGCCATGTCCAAAAGTGGGTGGTTCCACCTCTTTCCATTGTTATTCTTCCTTTTCACCTTTTCTTAAGGGAAGAACAGATTGTCTTGTAAGAAAACTCCAATTGCCCACTGGCTAGTCTTAGCATTAGGCAGAGTAAGGCAGCCATTGCAGGCGGCAGAGGAGAGGTTTCTCTCCCCTGGTTAGAGCCATGTCTCTGGCACACCATGCGCCTTTTCCCATTTGGTGCAGTTCTTTGCCCTGTTTTCTGGGTGTCTCTGCTATCATTTTGGATCATAAATAACAGCGGATGCTTCTTTTTTCTCTCCTAGTGAGCAATAGGCCAAATGGATGATCAAGACCGCCACCCACAGCTGCTTTCCACAATATTGTCTTCCAGTACACGAGCTGATATAAAAACAAAGAGGATGTTGTAAAATAGAAGCATTCAGTAAAGGCCAATAAAGATGTATCTACTGTTCCTTGTGTGAAGAAATAACTCTGATTATCTGTAACCATGCTTCCAATATTCTCAGCCCTGGGGGCCAGAAAGTTGTAAAACTACTGCTTATAGAAAAATCCTGTTTTTAAAAAGGAGAGTGGGATGTGTCCAAGAATTTATTAAATCTTTAACAATACCTCTGAGAGATGGGATTTCCTTTAGATTTCCTCCCAGAAGCGCTTCGTACATCACAACACTGAATAATGAATTGCAGATGGTTAAACAGCTTCTCTTTTTATGGGCTACTTGTTGAGATGCAGCTGGCTGGATCGCTCAGTGGTTTAGGTATCTGGCTGCAGAACCAGAGGTTGGGAGTTTGATTCCCCCACTGGGGCCTCCTGTGAGTAGGGCCAGCCTGCGCGGCCTTGGAGGAACCGCACAATCCCAGCATGCCCCCAGGGGATGCTCAACTACTTCAGAGTATTCTCTACCTGGAAAACCCTGAAAAGGGTCATCACAAGACAGAATTGACCTGGCGGCAGATGATGATGATTATTTGCTGAGATGCGGCTGACCACGGAGAAAGGTGAAATGATGCAGAGGCTGCAGGCAGGAGATCAGCAACCTGTGTCCCACAAGCTGCGTGACTTCTGATAAGAAATCTGATTGAATCCTCCTCAGCTTCTCCTTCTAGTAGCTAATGCCACGAGTACTTTGAAATCTTTCCTAGATCCACAGGAAGAGCAAACCAGGCCTCTAAGGTCAGAAACATTTGATAAAGATAGCCCATGACTGCAAGAGAGAAATTGTCAAGCAATGAAAGCATCTGAGTGTCCCAGGACATGGTGTCTGTCCTTTCCAGGGGGCCATGCAAAGTAAAGTGGTGCCTTGCTAGACAATGATAATCCATTCCACTGAAATCGCTGTTTAGCGAAATCATTGTCTATCAAAAAGCATTTTCCCCAATGGAATGCATTGAAACCTGTTTAATGCGTTTCAATGGGGAAGAATCGTCGGTGTCTAGTGAAGATCGACCATAGGAAAGCCACTTCGCAGACCGCCGATCAACGGTTTAAATCGCTGTCTTGCGAAGCTTAGGTCCGGAAAACACCTGTTTTTCGAGCGCGGAGAGAACTGTCAAAATGGTCGTCTAGCGAAAATAGGTTTGCGAAGCAGGGACCAAACATTGTCCAGCAAAATTCCCCCATAGGAATCACTGTTTTGCGAATCACTATAATGATTGCAAAAAGTCAATGTCTAGCGAAAAAACTGTCATGCGGGGTAACTGTCTAGCGAGGCACCACTGTAGCTTGATTTGTTTCCCAAATTCAGGATTGAAGCCTGGTATTACTTTTAAATCTGATTGCAGAAACATGTGGAAATTCCCCCCACCTCTGTAGCTTTAAGGTGCATTCAAAGCTAATTACAGGCTGTCTTTAAAGTCTTTCTGGCCAAAGAATGCAAATCTACTAGTAAGCATGGATTGAAAAATAGTTTTCCTGTTATGTTTGCGAACATTCACCAATGCCATGTGATGTTATTCATCTTGTGTGCCTGCACATCATGGCAACGCTTCAGTGGTTCCCAACTTTGAGTTTTCTGGACTCCAATTCCCAGAAGCCTTTACCACCAACTGTGCTGGCTGCGTTTTCTGGGAGTTGCAGTCCAAGAACACCTGGGTTACCCAAGGCTGGGAATCACTGCTCTAAGACCCCTCGAAAGTCCAAAAATGCAGGCAGGTGTCTTGGTCCATATCGAGACACCAATTGTAGCTGTTCTAACTGCTTCCAGAAACCGATTTTTAAAGTAATTAGGGCAGGAATAGCTGAAGATGTCACTTTTAAAAAATATTATTGGAGAGGGCGAATCCATCTCACCTGCACCCTAAGAAAGACCTATACTTGAGGAAATAGCCCAGACACTACTGGTGTGAAACTGACACATTCACGTATGCAGATTTATGTTTTCAAGTGATAACTCCCACAATTCCTTAGGCAGAAGAGCTGGAATTCTGGGAACTGTAGTCCCTCCTGTGTTCCCAAATCTGAACACCTTTACGTCTAACCATCTTGAATGGTGATGAACAGGTTTCCATCCCACATGCACCATATCCTTCCCCCCCTTTTTTTGCACATGTGTAGAAAATGTTTCATCTGGTACGCAAGCAGTGTGATTAATAAAATGAACGACAGATATCAAACTGATATTCAAAACATTTATTTCTTCACAGAAAAGCCTGCTTAATTTACAATGCTGTGTTAATAGATTCACATTTCAAAAACTTTTCTGCTATTCACAAGATCCTGGAAAACTGGATTTAAACTCCCACTGAGATTTAGAAGCTGTTTGGATGGACAGACTAAATATAATGATGCTGTTGAATCAGATTAAAACATTCGTGCATACCGACTCCCACAATGGTCAGCCAGATGCCTGTGGGAAGGATAGAAGCAGAGCATGAAGCCGAAAATTATCCCCATAACCCTCTGTCTCTGTCATCTGGTAACTATGGTAAACTGCCTTTCCATATGGAGGTTTTATCCTTGGTTGCCATAATCACCAACAATACAACATGCTAGAATGAGCGATGCTTTCTGATGCTTCCAGTATTCCAACTTAAGGTGCTGGTGTGGTCCAGTGCATGATTCCAGGTTGGATTTTTAGATATAGCTGGAAGGAAGAATACATGGATATGTTACAATTGAGTTATTCATAAAGCCTGATTTGTAGATCATACAATTATACATCCAGCTGGCTTAGAATTTCCCTTCTAACACTTTACCTCCAGTGTCTCCTTATATATAGCAATGTCCTGCTCTTATATTTTCACATTATAGACCCAATAGCTTGGATATATGGGTATTGCACAGTCTCCATGAAACAGATGATGCCTGGATTCTCCGGGAGTAAAATGGTTTCAGTGGGATTGGGGGAAAGTTCCTTTTTTAAAGACTACAACCCTGAGAAGTAGGGTAGCAGACCAGCACATGCATATTTTAAGACATAAATGAAGGCTGCAATCTGGTGCTCAAATTTTTTAATGAAAAAAATCATGATAATTTGTTGTGGCATTTTAGGTACGAAAGAGTGAGTCTACAAGCTAGTCTTTGAGATACCTACCATGCTGAATCTATACTGAAAAGTACACTCTAGATGAAAGAATCATAGCTTCATAGAATAATTGAGTTGGAAGAAGTCTACAAGGCTGTTGAGTCCAACCCCATATTCGGTGCAAGGATCCAAAACAAAGCAGATCTGACAGATGGTTGTCTAATTTCCTTTTGAATGCCTCCAATATTGGAATGCTCACCAACTCCTGGGGTAATGCGTTCCATTACAGTACTAACATTATTTTTTCTTGATATTCAGCCTAAATCTGGCTTCCTGTCTCTTGAGCCCTTTATTATGTGTCCTGCACTCTGGGATGATATAGCTGTATATTGCTGCAATTTGTCTATACTGAATCCAGATGAATGGTTTTAATTCTTTGCAATGTTTTAGGCAAGAAATGCAAAGATCTCTGAAGCCATAGAAGGAGAGTGGGAAAGTAGCAGGCATTAGCAGCAAAGAGCAATAAAGATGGTGGCTGTACGCTTAAGGTTGTGATTACAGTAACTTCACGGTGGCTTGATTTGCAGAATATTTATGCTTCTGTTTGCATTAGGTTATCAAATGGGGAGTGCACATTGTCTCAGTGGCAGTGTCTCTACCAACCCCTCAGTGTGATGTGGTTTAAGCCGCACTACGGCCTAGAGTCCCCCTTCCTTTGCTCCTGTCTTCTGCTGACCCCCCATCTCCTTTTATGGTTCATTGTAAAGCTGGTGGGCTGTTAAAAGTGTTGCTAAGCACTAGGGAAAAGAGACAGTTCTTCAAAGTTCTCCATAACATGCAAACATATACACCCCCACACACCATGGAAACCGTAGTTTGCTGTAGTTGGTCTGTGGATAGGTGATCTAGCGCTAAACTATTGGGAGAGGCCGTGATGCACTGGCTGCCTCCTGGCTAAATGCTCAGATGTCAAGGTTTCCCATCTGCTGAGGTCCATTCCTAAGGCCTTCAGATCCCGCTTGCAGATGTCCTTGTATCACAGCTGTGGTCTCCCTCTGGGGCAATTTCCCTGCACTAATTCTCCAATGAATATTTATTTATTCATTACATTTATATCCTGCCCATCTAGTGCCAAGGCACTACTCTGAGCAGCTAAGAAGAAAACACAAAGAATACCACCCTCTCATAAATAAAGAGTATACCAATGTATTGGTCAAGTGATCTAGTGCTAAACTAGGTAGCTTGTTTAAAACAAAATAGAACAAAACAAAACAAAAAAGTTGGGTGACTAGGGAGAAAGTGCAAAGGGGTGGGTGTTCCAGCTGTCGAAAACATCACACCCAGCTTACTATGTCAACAGAATAGCACCTACAGCATGCCCCCCATCCTTTTGGAGAACAAAACAACCCACTGCGTGGGGGAAAAGTCCATTTGATCATATGGCCTTGAAAAAAACAGACGCCCCCAGCAGCAAGGGGAGTCAAAAACTCAGGACTGATTTGAATGGGCTTTTGCATATGTGATTAGTTTAAAAAAATCATCCACAGTATCTCATTGTGCAGTCACAGGCTAATATATGAAATGTCAGGGTGGGGATGGGGTTGATTGAATGGTTTCCTTCCATGGATCACATAATAATGGAATTATAGAATCTATGGACTGGAATGGACTGGAAGGTGGTGGCAAACAGATGGCTATGTTGCCATCTGTAGACTCTCCTAGCAAAAATATATATATTTCAAGTGTACCAAAATTTAGCTAACATTTTGTTGCAGGGGGGGGGTGACTTCTATGTACAAATTGTGGAACACATAGATGTTTTCCCTACTCACCTACCTTTCCCAATAATTCAAATAATATTTATAATGGGAAACAGGACCAAACAGAGAGTTAGAAACCTCCTTAATTTAAAGAGTTGCTTATCAGTCTAAATCACATGTGGTCTTCATGGTCTCAGAAACTGTGGAGGAAAACAGGAGAGAAAAGATACGTAGTACGGCTAACGCTTGATATATTATATATGATACCGATTCGATCCATACTAGCATATAGTTATGATATATGGTTCTCTGGGAGCACTGTTTAGCATGGGAAAGAAGACCTTGTACACTTGTGTTTCTACTTTAAATGACCCATTCTTTCCCTGAAAGAGCTGGCCCGTATCTTTCTGGCACAGGGCTAGGGCATGCTGCGTATCTATTTGGGATGATTCACTGAGATGCAAAATAGCTCTTTGCTTAGCCTTCACGGATGGGTATTTGAGTTAAAATAGATTGCACTGGAACCGACTGTGTATAGAAACTGCTCTAGCCCAGCAGTGAGCGAAAAGCAGATGGGAATGCACGGGACAGACCCAAGAGGTTCTACTGCCCAAGGCAAAGAACAGAACAGCACTCCCATCCACTGCATATATAAAGACGGGACTGACAGCTAATTTTTTCCTTCAACACTGGTGGTGAGGCACTAGTCTCTGTCACACGATGGCTAGCTTAGGGAGTAGAGGCATGATGACATGGCACTCTTCTCTAACATTTGATGGTGCCTAAAACGATTACCTCAACCTACTCGACAACTGGGCTGGCCCTGAGAGTGCGATCTGGAGAAGATGGGAGAGGTCAAACCTAAGGTGGAGGAAAAGGGGCTGAATTTGGAGACCCAATGAGCATTGGAGAATCACGGAGTCACCTTTTGGTTATTGGCCAAAGAGAGAAGACTCTGGAAATAAATGGTCATCATTATTTATTGTATTTTATTATATTCTAACTAAATAAGTAAATAAATAGTTAATTAAGTAACAACACTGGTGGTGAGGCACTAGTCTCTGTCACACGATGGCTAGCTTAGGGAGTAGAGGCATGATGACATGGCACTCTTCTCTAACATTTGATGGTGCCTAAAACGATTACCTCAACCTACTCGACAACTGGGCTGGCCCTGAGAGTGCGATCTGGAGAAGATGGGAGAGGTCAAACCTAAGGTGGAGGAAAAGGGGCTGAATTTGGAGACCCAATGAGCATTGGAGAATCACGGAGTCACCTTTTGGTTATTGGCCAAAGAGAGAAGACTCTGGAAATAAATGGTTGTCATTATTTTATTTTATTTTATTTTATTCTAAATAAATAAGTAAATAAGCCAAGAAACAGTGCCCTGAAGTGATTAGAGTGATCACCGGAGAGGTGGGGGACCCAAGCCCTCGCTCTTACCACCACCACCATCTTTGAACTGCAGAGCTGGAAGAAGGGGACCCTTGGGGTCATCCAGTCCAGCCCCTGACAAGGAGGCCTGGGGTGGGGATCGAACTCCCAACCTCTGGCTCGGCAATCAGAGACTTAAACCCACATTCTTCCTATACAAAAGACAGACATTTCTGTTAAATAAGTCAGTTAGGAAGACTGTAAGAAATCTAGCAGCCATTGCAAGTCATGGTGGGGGGAAAAAGTCTGTTTAAGAAGGAACCCTAGATCAGTGAAAGAGAAACATTTTGTATGCCTGAGGTTGACATTCCTATCTAAGAAAGAAAAAACTAATTGGAATAAGATCTGTTGTAGGGTGATGAGAAATAAATCAGGTTGCAGAAGGTGGGAAATTTCTCTCACTCCCTGAGATTTTTACTGCTAGTTAAAGTAGACCAGTGGTTCCCAACCTTGGGTCTTTAAATGTTCTTGGACTACAACTCCCAGAAGTCCTGGCCATCACAGCTAGTGCTGAAGGTTTCTGGGACTTTTAGTCCAAGAACATCTGGAAACCCAAAGCTGAGGATACTAGCCTAGATACAAGATAGGCTAACCTGCTCTAAATCAGCTCTGGATCTTCCTGTGAGTGGAAGCTAGATTGGTAGTAAATAATCCATGTAGCAATTTCCAAATTTCAGAAATTGTTTTTTCTGTTGTGGCTACATGCCACCAAGTTGGTTCCCATTTATGGTGACCTGGATAGGATTTTCAAGATCTATGAGCCACTTAAGGAGTGGCACATCATCACCATCCTTTGGAGAGTTTCCAAAGCTGAGTGGAGATTTGAACCCAGGTATCCTGAATCCTGATCTAGCACTTTACCCACTGCGTCACACTGATTTCATTCCCAACCTTAGGCTCACAGGTATTGCTAGGCTACAACTTCTGTTGTGTGTGGCAATTTGGCTATTTTTTGCCATCTCTGCTCAGGGTCTCAGAAGATTATGGGAAGTTAGAAATCGAACATCTGGGAATCCAAGTTGGAGAATCAGTGCCTTAGCCTATTTATTTTATTTTATTTATACCCCACCTATCTGTTCAAAATGACACTCTAGGTAGCTTCCAGACATATAAACACAATAAAATGTACATATAACAAAAAACTATGGCGGTCCCAGAACATTCCTATTTTATTATAAACAGTAGCCAGCCAGATGTGTCATCACTTACCACTCTGAGAAGTCCCTGGCTTTCCAGGCGTCAACCACCTCAGCAATGCCGCCTGCAATCTGACCACTTGGTAGTCTTAGGTCATCAGTGAGGTCATGGTTGAAGTTCCCACAAGGAGCACACATCTTTCCTGCCAGGCTGCCCGCAACGCTCACCGTCACTTTACCGCTGGATTCATAAAGAACCTGCATCGTGGAGTTTTGATCTATCACAATCATGTTTTCCGACTCTGTGATGGAGACAGCTGCGGAGACGTTCAGTGGTGGCTTCACTATGAGTCCATTGACCTGAAATGAAAAGAAGGCAGGCTAAAGCAGAGTAGAATTGGGCCTGAAATCCATCAGCTTCCCAGGACCTCTCCCAAAGCAGAAGGAAACAAGAGGCAGAAAACAAAGGAAGACCAAGTCCTGGGAATGGTATAATAAATGGGACCAACTCTTTCAAAAGTTTGAAACTAGTCTTGCTTGTTGGAATTTTTGTTTGTTTGTTTGTTTTGTGGGGTTTTTTTGCCCAAATTATGGAAATAATTCTGACCTTCGTGTGCAGGAACAGAGAACTCTCACAGGGGATGGTAATTTCTTGACAGGATGATGAGGCAGCACAACTAACCAAAAACAAGTAACTGTGTCTGATGTCTTCACAGAGAGAACCACTTACCCAAGTCTCCATGTTGTTCACTGTGATGAATGCATCCCGGAAGAAGACATAAATGGCTGAAGCCACTGGTGCAGGATTGTCACTGCATTCATTGACATCTACCACCACTTTGAACCAGGAAGGTGACATCTCGTCACAGTAGGAGGCCACCTTGTAGACACCATTAGAGAGGAGTTTCCCTTTGGCGCCATCAAAGGAAGTGAACCAGGCTCCTGGGGCGATAATGCAGTGGCCTTCCTGTCTTACGCAGCCACGGATATTGGCTGTCAGTGCACAGGTCTCTCCCACAGGACAGCTGGTTTGTTCACAGGTGAGCTGGCCTGAAGGTCGACAGGTGCATTTTTCTGAACAGTCCTCGGAGAGGATGGTCTCTCCACCCTACAAGAAATTCCAGACAAACGGAAGAGTTCAAGATAAAAATCAACCCGTAAATGTCAGAACTAGCATCATTAAGTCTCAGAGAAAAATGGAGAAATAAATAAATATTATTGCTCCCTAATTTAAAAAGAGAAAAACAAGAGCTTTCTTGCAAAATGTTATTGGCTGAATTGAGAGAACTGCAAATTTTATACATCCCCTCAGAGGTAACTAGCTACAAAACTAGATGGTGTTGTTATGTGCTGTCATCGGAACTGACTTATAGCAACCTTGATAGGGCTTTTGAGGCAAGTGAATTATTTAAGAAGTGGTTTTATTAGTTCCACGCTCAAAGTGAATTTCCATGGCTGAATTGTGACTTGAACCCAGGCCTCCTAAGTCCTATCCCATCACTCTATTCACTACACCACAATGGGTATCTCATCAAACATAGTAATGCTTGATAAATTGGATAGAACAGGTAAAGGATTCTGTCAATGGATAGGCATAATAAAGCATCTGTTTTCATCAGTCAGATGACAGAATACATGCTGGAAGTCCCACACCCACTTCTGAACACTGGGATTCCTGGTTGGGTAGAATGAAAAAAAGAGAGGAATCTCTTTAAAAATAATATCTGCACATTGGCAGATGGGGCTTTGGTGGTGATGATGGTAAACAAAGATAAAAGAAGGTGAACAGCAGAAGAGATGTTTTTATGGACTGTATCAGGGGGACTTGGATAATAAATGTAGCCATAAAATCAATGAACACTCAGCATAACCATAGTTTCCCCTACGTTGCATTGTCAAACACAGCAAATGTCTCAGATGCACAGAAGATGGCATTACACAAATTCAGAGAGCTAAATCAGGACATATGACAAATGTGCCCAGTTGCAGCAATAATCAGCTGCAGGATTAGGTTTCCTCAGGCTGTAATGCAGTCACTTCATTTCAGCTGACTACTAAAAGGTCTGTTGCAGAGATGAGCACAAACCTGGAAAAGTCTTGGTTAGGCACAAACCACTAACCATGAACCATCATGAGCCAACTGGAAAACTGAACCAGTTCACAGTTCTTTTTTTTTTGTTTGTTTCTTGCTCAACGGAAAGGTCCTTCTTCCTGTTGTACCAGTGCTGCGTTTGAACTGCCACCACCACTGCTGTGGCGATGACAACAGTGGCAGCAGCGGCAGCAATGGCGGTGCAGTTGTGTGGCCTTCCAGGAGCCCGGGTGCTGCCTTGGTGCAGGCGCATGCCCAATCAACCCTGATCAGCTGGGAGGTGGGCACATGCGCAGAAGACAGCAACTGACTTCCCTTTTCTTATCTGTGTGCATGTGCCCAACTCCCAGCAATCCCCCTAATCAGCTGATAGGCAGGCGCAGAGACAGCAGGCCGAGCTTCAGGAAGGGAAGCCAGGCTGCTCTCTCTGAAGATGGTGGCAGTGGCAGCAGAGACCAGACCAGGTAGGGAGACGATGGGGGCAATTGGAAGGGGGCACGCGGGCATCCGTATTGCCAAAGCAAAACCAAGCATCAACTGGAAAAGAGTTCACACTTCATTTCACTTTGGCAAAGTGGTTATATGAACCACACCATGAACCAGCCTGGCATGGTTTTTCCCTAGTCTATAGTTCGGTTTGTGCTGATCTCTAGTCTGTTGTGTCATCCACCACTTACCTTGATGTAGCGTCCATCATAAGTGCAGCCACAGTTATCCATGGACACACATTCTTCCCCATCAAACACATAGCCAGTGTCACACTGGCAGCCTTCAAAGCATTTTCCAGTACATTGAGATGGAGCAGACAGGGCAGCACATGTAAAATCACAAGATCGGGTGCACAGCTCATAATGGCTGTTGGCTGGGCAGGAGAGGGCTGAAGAGAACAGAGCAAGCATGGAGAGAATGAGAACAGAATTAGACAGTGGGAAATCAAGTTATCACTATAGTTCATTTTTGACTTTTCTAGAGCCTCCCTGGAAAAGACCCTGATTTTGGGAAAGTGTGAGGGAAAGAGGAGAAGGGGACGACAGAGGACGAGATGGTTGGACAGTGTCGTCGAAGCGACCAACATGAATTTGGCCCAGCTCCGGGAGGCAGTGGAAGACAGGAGGGCCTGGCGTGCTCTGGTCCATGGGGTCACAACGAGTCAGACACAACTAAACAACAACAACAACAACAACAGAGCCTCTCAGCATCCTCTGGCCCTCCACAGTGCTATGGATCTATTGGTCTTAGTGGATGCCTATATGAAAGGTGTAGAAAGAAAAAACTCATTCATAGGGAGACAGTGGGGTTGAATGGAGTGAAGTGAAGTGCACTGGAATTGCCATAGAATGCAGTGGAGTGGAGTGGATTAGTGACCAGAGCACAGGTGGGTGATCTCCAGGATGCCAAGGACCAATTGTCTCTTTGCTGGGTGTTCAGCAATTGCACTGAATAAAACAGAGGCTCAATCTGCCATCAGCCATCAGTGGCACAGCTTCCCAGCCACTTATCCAGCTTTACAGTGGCACTCTTATCTTTACTTAAACCTATTTTAACCCACTTATTGATTAAACATTGTTTCCTGCTTTTCCTGTTTAAAATTGCACAATGAAGTCTTCAATGAATCGTATCATTCATTGACCACCATCTGTCATTTCCTGTTACCGTATATGGCTCGAGTGTTTACAGGATGACTGGGCATTTGCCTAACTGTTGTGTCAAATAGTAAGAAATAGTTGCCAATGAACACAGAAGGAAGCCTACTGAAGATTTCCTTATTCAATTAATGCTATTAAGGTACAAAAACAGCAGTCTTGAGCCAAAACAAAAAGAGACGATATTTAACTAAACAGTTAAAATACATTAAAATCAGTATAAAATAGCTGGTGAAAAGCTGGAAAGCTGCCTTTTTGGAAGCTTTTAAGAAATGAATAGTTCTTGAGGGATGAGTGTTGCAAAAATGGCTTGGAGGCCACAGGCTGTGGATGGGCCACACGATGTCCATCCCTAGGCTAAAGTGTTGGAATAAGGCCAGAAATACCTAAGCTCAAATCCTCATTCATCTTTGCAACACTCTGACCTAAATCTAATCATTGGTCTCAACTAGAGTAGACCCAACTCCGGGAGGAAGTGGAAGACAGGAGGGCCTGGCGTGCTCTGGTCCATGGGGTCACAAAGAGTTGGACACGACTTAAGGACTAAACAACAACAAGAGCAGACCCATTGACTCAATGGGATTATATAACTTCCCTTGCTTCAATATTCCAGTTGGGACTAACTGTTGAATTTGGGCCAGTATGACTGCATGGAGATCCATCAATTGGGTGATCTTGGATCAATCATTCTCTTCTTTGGACTTTTTTCTTATTTATTTATTTATTTATTTATTTATTTATTTATTTATTTATTTATTTATTTTATTTATTTATTTATTTATTTATTTATTCATACATACATACATACATACATACATACATACATACATACATACATACATACATACATACATACATACATACATACATTCCCCACCTCTAACCCACTGAACTGTGAACTTCCAGGCTTCAGGAGAGTGGATAAAGATTAATTAGCAAACTTACGACAGAAGGAGGCTGTTCTCCAAGCTCCAGTCTCGGCTCCAGCTAGTTGACACGCAACGGTATAGGCTTGTAGGCTTCTACAGAGCGGTTCTCCTGCTCCATTGGCCACACACATGTCCGATAGGCAATGTCCTAAGTAGTCAGCAGGGCTGACCAAATCATGGCAATCCTTGAACGGACCTGTCTTGGACTGGATCATCCCACATGAGTTCTCATCTTCATAAGGTGCCAACTGCATCATGCTGCAGGTAGGGCATCTGTCGCCACAGCCATCAGAGCAAATGACCCCATCCACTGGGACCTTCCAGGAGGACACAAATTCCTCCACACTTTTAGTGAGCGTTCCGTTGGGTAGCATGAAGTCGTCACTCATATCCCCATTGAAATTGCCACCTAGCCCACACATGTGTCCTTGATAACTGTTGGGGACAGACACATGGACAAATGAAGAAGTATCATAGAGGACTGTGAGGCCAATGGATGAAAGAACAAGGATATTGTTTCCTTCCTGGGTGATCCTGAGTTTCCCGTCCGCTGCGTTCATTGGCAGAGTGTAGAGTTCTCCATTGACCTGTAAGCAACAAACAGTGATGTGGGGGAAGCATGTTAGTTCTAGTCATACAATCACTTGTGTTCATACATGCGCACATTCCTGGAGAGGTCTGATCTGACCATCGTGACACATGCCTTAATTACATTTTGGCTAGACTACTGTAACACACTCTATGTGGGGCTGCCTTTTGAAAGGGTTCAGAAACCCCTCCACAGCCAAATACTGTCGTGGTATGGTTAAACCGGCATTTGTTCCCTGAGATTCTGGAAAGACTTACTAAAAGAACAGCTGCAAGACATCACAGCTGTAGCTGATAAGAGACATTGTATATAAGGCAAAAACGCCAGTACTTGGTGTGGGTTAATGTTGGTGAAGAGTTACGTGTGTAGGAGTGTTCGTTTGCTGTTAACTGCTGTATATCTACTGTTATTTTCTACTACTACTGCTTATCATCTCAAGTAAAATACCTCTAAAGAAGGACTGACTTCGTTCATTGTGCTTCTTTCTGCTGGACATCTGCTAAATTCTTCAAACAAAACACAACAGGTTATGGGATCCAGCCTGCGCTTCTGAGAGCAGCAAAGCTTGAGAGCAGTGAGTAGCATTGAAGATAAAACAGCGACAGAGAATGTCGGACACAGATGAAGGACCAGGAATGTCTGGAGGAGCGGCAGCTATAGCTCAACAGATAACTCCCTATCCTATATGTCGTTTAACTGAGACAAATTATGCAGCATGGTCTCATAAGATGCAACTGCTACGGAAAAGGGAGTCATTATGGTCCGTAATAGAAGCAACACCCACCCCCTTGACTGGAGAAAACCTACAAAAGGATGAGAGGGCAGAAGCTCATATTGGCTTGAGCGTGGACGATGAATTGCTTGTGCACATACGAGGCTTGAACACAGCTAAACAATGTTGGGATGCACTTAAAGAAATCTACACACGCCAGTCTGTGCCCTCGAAAATAAGCCTGTCCAGACGCTTATACAATACAAAATTGGAGCCTGGAGGTGATTTACGAGCTCATCTTCGTCTCATGAAGAAAACGCTCAAAGATTTAGAGGACGTAGGAGTGAACATTCCAGAGCTACAGAAAGTACTAATTCTGCTAGGCTCATTAGATAGCAGCTGGGACGTATTTGCTCTGACCTTGGAGGCGATTCCGGAGAGCACATTAACCCTTCCATATATCACCAGCCGACTGCTGGAAGAGGAGGAGAAACGGCGAGAGCACACACAGGAAAGGAGGAGGGAAAGAACCCATCCATCTACAGCAAAGACAACAGAGAAGGAAGAGGCACCACACGTGTATGCAGCACGAAGATGCTACTGTTGTGGTTCAACATCTCACATTCAGCGCTACTGCAAGTCAAAAGAGTCAAGACGACGTGGGAAGACTGCAGGACGAGGCAAAGTAGCTGTGGTGAGAACACAAGATCCAGAGGAAGGACAATGGCTGATCGATAGTGGCGCCAGCTGTCACATTTGCTGTGACCCAACAAGGTACAAGAACTTGAAACCCTCCGAAAGGACTCAAGTAAGCTTAGCCAATGGAGCATCTGCAAAAGTTGAAGGGACTGGTAAAGTATATGTACCTGGGTTGCATGATGTAATATCTAACGTTTTATGTGTACCCTCACTCAAACAAAGCTTGTTAAGCGTATCATGCTTATTGCTAGAGGGATTCACAGTACAATTTAAAGGAAAAACATGCAATATTACAAAAGGGGACAAGTGTATAAAGGTGCCAATGAGAGATAATCTCTTTATCCTAGAAGCCACTCCTAAGGCTGAGGTGGCAAGAGCATTGTGCACAAACAAAGAAACCCATAAAGCATGTGCACATCTATGGCATAATCGCCTAGCTCACATAAATTACAAATATATACAAAAAACAGCTGAATTGGCTCGTGGTATAAACGTGCAAGAATGTAATAAATATGTGGATTGTCACACCTGTAAGCAAGTAAAATCACGAAAAGCCCCTGTAAACAAGAAGAGTGACAGACAATCACAAAAACCTTTTGAATCGGTTCATGCAGATATAGTAGGACCATTCAAAGCCACGGTGGGAGGAGCAAAATATTTTCTACTAATAGTTGATGATTACTCTCGATTTACATTCTGTTACCTACTGAAAGAAAAGAGGGAAGCATTTCAAAAATTTAGAGATTGGGTTCATATGATAGAGCGCAGATTCAACCACAAGGTGGCGCAATTACAAACAGATAGAGGGGGAGAATTCATGAGCAATGCCATGAAATCCTGGCTTGAAAAGACAGGAATCCAACATAGGACTACTAACCCGTACTCACCAGCTGAAAATTCAGTTGCAGAAAGAAAGGCAGGAGTACTACAGATCATGAAAGATGCTTTACTAAATCAATCAAAGCTAAGTCAAGTATTCTGGGGGGAAGCACTACAATGTGCTACACATTTGGTTAATAGGGTATATAGTAGATCTGTAGATACCATTCCATATAACTTGCTGTATGGGAAGGCACCAGATCTATCCTATATCAGAAGTTTTGGTGCTTATGCTTTTGTACATCTGCCAAAATCCCAAAGAAAGAAGGGAGCCTCTAAAACTCAAAAACTCATATGTGTTGGATATTCACCTTTCACAAAAGGGTATAGATTTCTAACTAAAGATAAGCGAAATATAGTGATTTCCAGATCAGCTAATTTCTGTGAACAGGAACTATTACCCCAAAGAGAGGAGAATTATTTTCCTACATCAGACATACCCCTCATATTGCAGGAAAGAGAAAATGAGTTGACAAAGCAACATACACCAGCAAAAACAGATAGTGAGGATGAGGAGCATAAACCTTTAACTCCTTCCATAACTCCAAAAGCTATAAAACAAGAAACAACACCGCCTATAGAGCGCAGCCCTATTCTGCTGCCACTGAAAACAACAACATGTGAAGCAGGAAAAGGGAAATAGAGAAACAAGTGAAGGACAGAAGAAAATAGATCTCCAGCTTCTCAGGGTATAGATGTTTCTGAACTCCACACGATGTTAATTTAAAAAAAAGGAATGCAGACGTTTTCCATTGATAGAAATATATACCTCCTATTTGAACAAAAATAGTTGAGTTTACCTGTGAATAACTACAAATAACAGTAGTGTTTCATGGGAAAAATGTTAGAGAGGAGAGAAAGTATAAAGGCTTCTCTGAGATAAGATCAGCCAACGCTTTCTCCTTAGCTCACATGAAAGAACTCACATGGAGAAAAGCTATAGAAATGCATAGAAGGTGGAGAGAGCTTCAGCCTAACCAGCACCATCAGTAGACTCCAACTAACTCTCATACAGGAGAGAAATGATATAAACTAATGGAATGTGGAAAGCACTTCAGTGTTAGCAGTGACGTTCGTTCCCATCATATCACTCACGTAGGGGAGAAACCATATAAATGCATGGTATGTGGAAAGGCGTTCAGCCGAAGTGGTCATCTTATTTCACATCAAGTTACTCACACTGAGGAGAAACCTTATCAATGCATGGAATGTGGAAAGCGATTCAGGGAGAACGGTACCCTAACTAGACATAAAAGAACTCACACAAGGGAGAAGCCCTATCAATGTACAGAATGTGGATATAGCGTCAAGGACAGTGGTACCCTAAGTAGACATAAAAGAACTCACATTGGGGAGAAACCCTATAGGCTTCCAGATCCTCACATTGGGGAGAAACCCTAAGGCTTTCAGATCCCGCTTGCAGATATCCTTGGATCGTAGCTGTGGTCTCCCTCTGGGGCATGTTCCCTGCACTAATTCTCCATACAGATCTTTTGGAATCCAACCATCAGCCATTCTCACGACATGCCCAAGCCAACATAGACGTTGCTGTTTCTGTAATGTATACACGCTAAAAATTCCAGCTCATTCTAGGACTACTCTATTTGGAACTTTGTCCTGCCAGGTGATATAAAAAATGCGTTGGAGACAATGCAAATGGAACATGTTCAGCTTCCTCTCCTGCCGTGCACAAAGGGTCCAGGACTCACTGCAGTACAGGAGTGTGCTCAGGACACAGGCTCTATAAATCTGGATCTTGGTATATGCCATCAACCTCTTATTAAACCATACTCCCTTTGTAAGTCTAGAGAGCATGGTAGCTGCTTTGCCAATGTGTTTATCCAGCACGACATCTAGGGAGAGAGTGTCAGAGATTGTTGAGCCAAGGTACGCAAAGTCATGAACAACCTCCAATTCTTCTGTAGAGATGGTAATAGAGGGAGGTGGGTCTACGCCCTGGCCCATGACTTGTGTTTTCTTCAGGCTGATTATTAATCCAAAGTCTTGGCAGGCCTTGCTGAATGGGAGGAGTGTCGTGGTATGGTTAAACCGGCATTTGTTCCCTGAGATTCTGGAAAGACTTACTAAAAGAACAGCTGCAAGACATCACAGCTGTAGCTGATAAGAGACATTGTATATAAGGCAAAAACGCCAGTACTTGGTGTGGGTTAATGTTGGTGAAGAGTTACGTGTGTAGGAGTGTTCGTTTGCTGTTAACTGCTGTATATCTACTGTTATTTTCTACTACTACTGCTTATCATCTCAAGTAAAATACCTCTAAAGAAGGACTGACTTCGTTCATTGTGCTTCTTTCTGCTGGACATCTGCTAAATTCTTCAAACAAAACACAACAAATACCACAGCCAAATTGTTGCCTGTGGCTGGTTAAAGGGAAAATATAACTCCCCTGTTACAGAAGCTCCATTTGTTGCTGATTCGTTTCCACTCACAATTCAAAGTGTTGGTTTTAACCTATAAAGCTGTAAATGGCTGGGGTCCAAGCTATCTAAAAGACAGTATCTCTTTTTATGAGTCCAGCTGGGTATTAAGATGATCAGGAGAGGCCTTTCTCTCAGTCCCGCCACCCTTGCAGGTGTGCTTGGTGAGGATACAAGAGACGGCCTTCTCTGTCGCTGCTCTCAGACTCTGGAACTCCCTCCCACAGGAGACCAGGCTGGCCCCGAATTTGCTGTCCTTCCACAAGCAGATGATGATCTTTCTCTTCAGGTAGGCTTTCCTTTAAATGACTGGTTGACCAATGGGATCTTTAAAAGGGATTGTTTTGCCCTTTTGTTTTAATTGAGCTTTTAATATTGCTCTTATAAATAGCACATCTGTTTAATGCTTTTTAAATATGGTAATTATTTATTATTTATACTGTAGGCCACATTGGATCCTTTAGGACAGTGGTTCCCAGCCTTGGGCCTCCAGATGTTCTTGCACTTCAACTCCCAGAAATCCTGGCCAGCAGAGGTGGTGGTGAAGGCTTCTGGGAGTTGTAGCCCAAGAACATCTGGGGGCCCAAGGTTGGGGACCACTGCTTTAGGAGAAGTGTGGCATGTAAACATTTTAAACAGATAAATGCATATACCCAGGGACCAACACCAACATCTGTCATTCACTCATTTTCATGCAACAGGGACATACCGTAGCTTTCCATCTCTTTCCCCTTTCAAGAGCAATAGAATATCCATGGAGATAGATCACCACTTTTCTTATTACAGATGAATGTCCATCATCCAGCTTCTCATTCTGCACCCAAATGGAGAACTTCTCAACTTGAGGTTCTTTGCTACAGACTTCAGCTAAGACATATGTACACGAGCCATCGAAATCAAAACTTTGCATATCAAAATTAAAATGAGTGTCACCCAATGCTCTTATAGAGCGATATCCAGAAGGATGGCAGCCTCGGATCCCGTTCTCCACCTTGCACACTTCATGAGTTCCACAGGAGAACGGCTGGCATTCTATGGCTCCATTATTCTTGCACTGGCACCTCTGTTGGCAAGAGATGCTGGGGTAGAACTCCTCTCCCTTCTTGTAGTATCTCCCCTGGTGCACACAGCCACACTCTTCAAGAGGGACACAATTATCTCCACTAAGAACGAATCCAGAATCACAGAAACATCCTTCTGTGCACGAAACCTCGCATGAATCTGGGGCCGAGAGATCTTGGCACGTGGCAGGGCAGCCAGTTCCACAGAGGTCATAGTGGGAATTTTGTGGGCAGGGAATGCCTGGAAGAGAAGGACAGGAAATAAAAACAATGGCTTTTGCAATTAACAGTGCAAACAGGGTCAGTTTACACGCTATATTGAAGCTATAAAGGATGATACTAATATCAAACTTCTTTTGAAAAAAAAAATTCGGAAAGATAAAAGTGGGGAGGAAGAGACTTCTGTACAGTGCCTTGAACCCAATGAAAGAAAGTGGAATATAAATGTAACACATAAATAAACAAGTAGACAGGTAAAGTCTAGTGTACTTTCAGGTAAGGAGGGCAATGATTATCATAAGAGAGTGTTGTCTTAATTAGAACACTTGGGGTAAGTGTAATGCTTTGAATGCCGGACCTTTAATTCATCCATACAATACACTTTGTCTCACCCTTTCTCTCTCTGATACCAATGTCACAATTCTCTTTTGGATACTGAGGTAATGGTCCTTTTAAAACACCACACAAACAGATGAGTTATCTTTAATAATCTTCACTTAGTGCCTCTCTTCTTCAGTTTCTGCCAGCAGCTCTTAGCTGCCTCATGTGTGAATATTTTCCCCCTCAGAAATTTATAATACCTCCCACATAGTCAGCCCTCTGGTATTGAAATCAGCATCATTCAGCAAACTAAATCAAAGAAGTGTTAATTAAAGTAACTGTTACAAGGATCCTTTTAAAAATTATCCCTAGGCTTTAATTCAGCACAATTCTTCATTTTATGAAGAATTCTATCACGTCTTAAATTCTCTCGGACTGTTTTCTGACGGCTTCACCCCAGAATCTAAACCAGTAATTCCCAGCCTTGGATCTCCAGATGTTCTAGGACTACAACTCCCAGAAATCTTCGCCAGCACTGCTAGTGGTGAAGGCTTCTGGGAGTTATAGTTCTGGGACACCTAGGGACCCAAGGCTAAGAACCACTGACCTAGCCTGATTTCTCCCCAGAGTCCACTCAAACTTCCTACCTCCAGACAGCAACAGGCTATTCTGAAAGCTTCAGCAATACCCTACTCTTCTAGTTTCCCCCAGCCATTCAAAACCATTCTTACCGACATTCCATCCTCCTTACTTACACCTTCCCTGATTTTGCTGGTTTCGGGACAGCAAAATCAGGGAGCTGGACAAGGGACAGATCGTATTTGTCTTCAGTGTGGAAGGGATGGTCACTCTTGAATTGGCCTTCTCAGCCACACTAGACGCTGTTCCAAGTCCTCTATACAGAGCACGTTACCATAGTCCCTCGAGACTGAAGGATGCCTACTTACAGCTTCCCATCGCATTTCAGACAATACATTCACTATCACAACAATTTAAATAGAACCAGGCATCACAAACTTCCTAGTATGTACAGAGGTTTTAGGACTAAAAGGTATGTTTATCTGGAATTTTTTTCCATTTAAATGAGTCCGACTTTACACTTGCAAGCAGGACAGCGAATATATTCTTATGCAAAACTCACAAGAAGTCAGACTTTCATAAGTGGAGCTGATGAGGACTGTGATGGACAAAGTATTGAGAATGACAATATGGATTTCCAGACAGGTGATACTTAGTCAGGAAGAACAGAGGAAGACATGATTGTCAAGAAGATATTTTGCAAATACTTCAGAAAGAAAATATGACAACAAAAAAGCTGTACTTCAGTGAAAAGTGTTGCAATATAAATTAGTAATTTGGATAAAAGCCACGAGGATCACAAGGGTTAATATAATGTATCAACTCCCTCCAAACATTGTTTTCTGATATTATTGACTAAAATAAACACAGATTTTCAAGAAGTACTTGAATTCTAAGGGGGTTCAAGACTGCTCAGTTTCTTGTATACACGATATACTAAGATTCATCCTTTCTCCTAAAAATGAAAGAGAAAGAAAGCTAAAAGTGATTAAAGATTAATTTAAAGGCTAAAATGACCTTGAAGGTTAATTTTGATCATTGTTACATCACCAAAACCAAGCATTTCTTTGGCAACAAGGACTGTACAAATAAATGTAACTGACTATACAAATGAAGCAGTAAATTCCAGTTTTAAACATTGTAGGTTTTCTTAAAATTTCAGAGCAGAATAAGAAAGAAGTATAATATTTCACTGTAAAGTCTGGATGATACAGAAGTCAGCATTTACTCTGCTCAGACCGCACACTCACTGATGTTTAAGGAATATGCCCTGCTATCGCTAGTATGGTTGAGTGTCACATACGATTTTGGTGCAGATTAGTCAACAATGCATGTTCCTGCAAAGAAGCATAGGCACAAATAAGGAAGGAAATGCTTACTGCAGAAGGAGGCTGATCTCCATGGTCCAATCTGGATGCCCTGAGTCTGACAGGCAGTCACATAGGCGCTGATGGCTTTGCACAGAGTATCATGGTGACCCTTATACACACAGGTGTCAAAGACACAATCCTCAAAGTAGGATGTCGGATCTAGGGTCCCATAGCATTGCCTAAAGGGCCCATCCTTTTTGATGAGGATGCCACAGAACTGGTTCCCCTTGTATTTGTTCTTCTCTGCCTCCTTGCACACCGGACAATCGGTAGTACAGCCTTCGGAGCACCCTGGGACCTCTTTCAGTGTCCAGCTTTTGGCAAACTGGATTTCATCCTTTGCTTGAGTTCCATCCTGCATGGTGAAGTCATCACTGGGATCTTGGTTGGCGTTGCCACAGAGTCCACAGATGGCATTGGCGTAAGCCTTGGGAAGAATGACCCTGGCATAGCTGTACCAATCAAAGCTGACTCTCAGATCAAAGTCGGTCTTGATGAAGCCATGGACCCCACTGACGTAGACCTTCAGCTTGTTTTCGTAAGAGAAGGGTAGGTCCACAAAGACTCCATTGACCTGAAAAATGTGGAAGAAATAGTCAAGAGTTTTTGAGGAAATTTAGGAAACAAGAAATATCCAATTTCCACTTTACAATAAACTAAGCTGAAACAGGCAGCCCAACCTACAAATTAATCCAAAATGTTTCAACATCTCCAGTAGCCTAAGCCAAGGAAGGACATCATTTCTTGGATTACGTACTAATGTGGATGAAAGAAAAGTATATTCTTGCATAATGGACAGACAGTTGCTAGTTCCAATTAGAGCAGGCCAATTTAATCAACAGGGCTAAGTGTAACTGAATATGTCATATTCATTAAATCGATCTGCTTTAGCTGATACGAACAATCACATTTTGACCTGGGTGCTGGTGTAGTTGTCTGAATCTGGCAATAAAACTTTGGTGAAAAAGTAGAAGAAATGTCCCTCTCCTTAAAATTGTGCTCCACAATTGCTACAGTTCTTAAAGCTGATTTATCGAATTATGTTTTTCATGTAACGATGGAAGAAACTACAGTATGATGTTCTGGTTGTTCAAATTCCATTATGACCCATATTTAGGAAGCAATACAAATTTAAATACATGTCATGGAACTGGGTTGGTGAAAGGGCATTTCCCCATTCCCCATTCTTCCTGGAAGACCTTTGAAGCTCTTGAAAATGCTACAAGCTTCAGGGGACCCTAAATAATGGTTGGAACTGCAGTGCAGGAAAAAGAGGTCTCCCCCACCCCTGTCATCAATCACCTTGTGTTAGCATAAGGTAGATCGTGGATCCATCATTTGGTTGCATTTGCGATCTATGCATACAGTTTTATAACATCACATTCTGGGGAAAGCTTACAGTAAGCATAGCAAAGGGACAAAAACAGCTTCAATACAAAATGGAACATAAATGCATAAAAACAAAAGCAGTATCAAATATAGCAAGGGACAAAATCCATCGTAAACTCAAAAATTAAACAAAAATATGAAAATGGTGAAGCCCAGACTATGGTTGAACATATACTTTAGAAGCTGAAATTAAGTCAATGTTCTGGAGACCTGATTCCAACAGCCCTTCATGTCTGTGCAATCTTACTTGCAAATGAAGCTTGTGTTTATTTCCCAGTGACCAGTCACAAAATGAAGAAAACTTAACATGCAAACATTGGGAGTTACATAAAGTTCTAACAGTTGGATGTCTCTCAGCACTTAAAATATTCCAGCTTTGACATGCTCTTTCCATTGTCTAGTTTCACAGTCTGTTTTCTTAGGCCATGGAAGGAACTGCCCATCAGCATAAGAAAGACTTTGTGAACCTTCTGTCTGAAGTTAACCAGAAAGAAGGCAGGAGGAGGACGAAATAATTAAGCTGCCGATTAGTAGTACTGAATAGATACATAAAGAGGATCCTGTCCACAAATTAATCTTGTGGCCAGAAACGAAAAGGAGATGGAGGCTCAAAGCTTCAAAGCTGGACATCCCACAAAGACATTATTGTGGGGAATCATAGCCAACCTGCAGCTTCTGTCATCTAAAGATAGGCGCTTTCAACATTTTTGTACCTGAATCTTTTGTGGATGTGTTTGGCTCAGGCTGATGGTCATATTGTAGACCTCCAGAGTGACTGTCTTTGTAAAGGACACTGCTTTGCTGCCTCGGTTGTTATTTTCTACTGTGACCAAAAACGGAGTGAGGGTGGGGTCCTCAGAGCAGACCCCTGCCATCTGGTAAATGCAGGTCCCCTGGAAGTCATACTTCCTCCCATCAAAGGTGGTGTAATGAGGGTCCCCGGTTCCGATGCAAGTAAAGTAAGAGGTTCCCTTGCAGCGATGCACACCATTCACCACGGTGCATTTCTCATTGGCTTTGCAACTGGCCTTCCGACAAACCACTCTTCCTAGTCGGGGATCACATTGACAACGGGCTTGGCAATTCCCATCCTCCCAAAATTCCTCCCCGTGCTTGTAATGGAGGCCGTTGTGGGTGCAACCACAGTTCTCAACTGGGACACAGGTCTTCCCATGGAGGACGTAGCCTTTGTCGCACAGGCAGACGGCCGCACAGGTGTTACTGCACAACAAGGGAGCCCTTGGGTCAGAGCAGGTGGCTGGGCAGGCATTTCCGCAGGCTTCGTAGTGGCTGTTCTCCGGGCAGGTCTGGGCTGTTTGGGTGGAGGTGAAGAACAGGTTAGCATTTACATGAACTGCATTAAGTTTCAATGGAGACATTATATCAGTGGTTCCGAACCTTGAATCCTCATACGTTCTTGGACTAAGACACCCAGAAGCCTTCCCCACTAGCAGTGCTGGCCAGGATTTCTGGAGTTGTAGTCCAAGAACATCTGGAGACCCAAGATTGGGAACCACTACATTATACAGTTGTGGCTCCTTTCCATGTGGTATTATGCTGTTCTGTTGTTTGCACCAGATTCATCCAGGGAAATCCGAGGGCTGCAAAAACAGCCATGGGGAACCACATGCCATATCTTGACTCACACATTGCCCACCTCTGGATTAGACCAACTCCTTAGGTCAGTTTTCCTCAACCTGTCACCTTCTAGGTCCCATCTCCCCACAGGCAGCATAGCCTGGTGCCAGCAACCTTCCTTTTTGCCAATCAGAGCTCAGTGCCATGCAACACCTTTCCTGCCTGCAAACCAGAGCTTACTTCTGTGCAGGACATTTATCTCCCGTTATCTCTGATGACTCAAGGGCATGTGGACCAAATGGGGAACTCTTATGGCCCTATTTGGTTCAAGGACTGGATGTTTCCCATTCTTGCTCTAAGCTTTGGGGTGAAAACTATAACTTTCCAGATGTTGCCATCCCCACCATCTCTCTCTGTAGCTGTGCTGGTTAAAGGCAGGTGTCAGACGCAGTCCATGAACATCTGGAGAGCCAGAGTTTTTCTCAGGTCTTCATTAAACTCTTTCTCCGCTCTATTGCTCCAACCTTTTCCATCCCTAACTACTAGTGCAACCTCCTCTCCTTTCCTACATGCCATGTTATGCTGTTCTTATGTTCATTAGTTGACTGCCAATCATTTTCCAATGGTTATACCGTCAACAAGTGCATTTTTCCCCTGATCATCAGGCTGAACTGGCCCACATCCAGAAGTTATTTCCCAGGCACCGACAGTGATGTCCTGTTCTTCACAGGCAGTGGCATATGCCTGTACCATTTTGCAGAACACATGGTTGTCTCCATTATTTAAACACATGTTGTTGACACAATCAGCAAAGTAGCTGGTGGGACTCAAGGTGGGATGGCAGCCTCCAAAGGGTCCTCCTGAAGCTTTGCTAATAATCCCACAATACTTTTCACCACCGTAGAGCTCCTTCTGCCTGTCATCACAGGCCACACAGTTTCCTTGGCAGGAATCTGAGCAGGCTGAGTCTTGATCATTGACTTTCCAGCTGCTGGCCCAATCCATAGTGGAAGAGGCTTGGTTGCCATCAAGACGAGTCATGTCATCATCTGAATCCTCATTGAAGTTTCCACATAGCCCACAGGTGGCTCCATGGTAACTACTGGGAAGTGTCACCACTATATTCCAGTCACTGCCATATGTCACCTCAAGGCCAAAATCTGTTTCAATGGTAGGCTGTGTATCGTTTTTAGAGATTTTGATCTTTCCATTCTCCAGTGTTGCTGGGAGGCTGGCCCTCACTCCATTCACCTAAGACAACAGAAACAACACATTATTGACCTTTTTCACATACAGTGGTGCCTCGCTAGACAGTTACCCCGCATGACAGTTTTTTCGCTAGACATTGACTTTTTGCGATCGCTACAGTGATTCGCAAAACAGTGATTCCTATGGGGGAATTTCGCTGGACAATGTTTGGTCCCTGCTTCGCAAACCGATTTTGCTATACGACAATTTGTTTTTTGCTAGACAATGATTTCGCTAGACAGCGATTTCAGTGGAACGGATTATCATCGTCTAGCGAGGCACCACTGTACATTGTTCCTGTTACAAAAACCACTATTTGTTATTTCTTGACTTCTTTAAAAACAGATAGTGAAGTCCAAGGTAGCCTGAGATGTATCTTGTACCACATTATGTATGGTTTCAAATTAAAATACTGCACATGCTTTGAAAGGATTTTTTCCCAAGATCATGACCCGCATCAGGTGTATCATGATCTCTGCTACTACTATGGGTGGAGGCTGGTGGCTCCAACGTCAGTGGTGTTGAGTGTGTATGTTCCAGATTTTAATCTGAACATTACATGAGCCACCCAATAAATCTGACATCCTGGAAAAAACTCCTATAAAGTCTATAGTAGTCCCGCCACTCGAGCAGATTAACTGTGCCACTGGCACAAGAGCCACCAACCTCTATCGGTTGCCATTATATATTGTAATTGTATTTTAATTGTTTTATCTTTTTTATCTTTTTTTACTGCATTTAAATTGTTGTAAGCTGCCCAGAGACCTTTGGGTAGTGTGGGTGGCATATAAGTCAAATAAATAATAAATTAATAAATTGCTGCTGCTGCTGACTTTAGTTATGGAATGTAAGAACATAAGAAGAGTCCTGCTGGATCAGGCCAAGGGCCCATCTAGTCCAGCTTCCTGTAGGGGAGCACACGAGACAGCTAGATAGCTGCCTCCTGATACCCCTTTCCTGCATCTTGCATTTGTAGGTACCTTCCTTCTAAGCCTGGAGATGCTGAACACTTCCGAATTTTCAAATCTATTTCAGTTTCGTATTTTTATGACAAAATGTTGTGAGCTATTTGCTGGGTTGTTGATGATTATTTTTTTCCTGAGGGTGAGTGAATTAGTGGCTTATTGTCTCATAAAATACTTTAGGGAGTGATAGTAATTGAGTCTTTTGGCTAAATGATCCCTTCAGAGCCATGAGCCTGAGCAGCCAGAGTTGAAGTCCATGTTTACTTCCCAGTGATCAGTCATAAAACAGAGCAAGCTAGTTTGTAAAATATGGAGGTGAGAAATCTTGGGCTAGGACAATCAGATGTCTTTCACCGCTCTAGAGCAACGGTTCCCAGCCTTGGGTCCCCAAATGTTCTTGGATTACAACTTCCAGAAATCCTGGTCAGCAGAGGTAGTGGTGAGGGCTTCTGGGAGTCTTAATCCAAAACCATCTGGGGACCCAAGGTTGGAAGGCAATGTTCTAGAGCAGTGGTGGGCCTCCAGATGTTCTTGGACTTCAACTCCCAGAAATCCTGGCCAGCAGGAGTAGTGCTGAAGGCTTCTGGGAGTTGTAGTCCAAGAACATCTGGAGGCCCAAGGTTGGGGACCACTGCTCTAGAGAATTGTGCTCAGCATTCCATGCAGGTTGACTGCTAGATATTTCCCCCCTCAATTATTATGCCAGCTTTAATCCTCTCTCACTGAACTTCACAGGAGTTGCCCCTTTCTCCACACAACAAATGAGTGAACTTAATTTCCTACCGTGAGTTGGACATCTTCTCCCTTATTAATGATGATGCTGTGACCATACACTTTGATATGGGTTAGCTGCACCATAGCACTGTTCTTCTCTTCGATGGAGAAGGGCACAAGCTTGGAATCACTGCCACAGTACTTTACAATGGTGTAGGTGCAAGAGTCTTGGAAGTTTATGAAAAGGCCATCAAAAGTCTGGAAATATTCCGTCGTGGAGCCCTGGCAAGTCCCCATGTACTCATGGATACAACGTGGTTGGCCATTCTGCATTTCACATATCTCCTTCACCCGGCACTGGAGTTTTTTGCAGGGGTCTATGAAGAAGAAAATGGAATTCAGTAATACCAAGTGTCCATAGCAATGGCTTGAATGCTAAGCTAAATTTGCTTAAGGAAGTTGATGGAACTAATGTTTCCTACCCCTCTCTCCCTTTGCAACCATCTGTACCCCTTGACAATCCTATTTGGGGTGTCACAGACCCTTCCAAACAATGGCCAAAATTCTGTTGTGCTGTTACACAAAAGGCATAATTTTAGTCATGAACTGATGTAAGATAAGAAATCTACACAGGCATTATCAGCATCCATAGTCAACAGATGGGAAACCATGACGTCTGAGCGTTCAGCCTGGAGGCAGGTGGTGCATCATGGCCTCTCCCAATTTGAAGAGACCCTTGTACAGCAGACCGAGGCAAAGAGGCAGTCCCAAAACAAGCAAAACCAGGGAGCTGGACAGGGGACAGATTGTATTTGTGTCCAGTGTGGAAGGGATTGTCACTCTCGAATTGGCCTTCTCAGCCACACAAGACACTGTTCCAAGACCTCCATACAGAGCACGATACCATAGTCTCTCGAGACTGAAGGATGCCTACATCAGTCATTACTGAGTCATTATCTATTCAAAGCAATGGGTAATGCCTAAGGAGGTTTCTTGCAGCAATTCACTACTAAAAGTTACACCTTTTGCTTACTTCCACTCCAGAATCTTGGCCAGTATGAGGTAGGATGCAGGGATGGTAAAGGACAGTTGGCAGGCTTTCAGGTCCATCTACAAATATACAGTAATCTGTGTACTAGTTTCTCAGTCTTCCACAAAAAAATCAGTTTGGAGTTTCTCTCTGTTGGATCAAACGGAAGGCAAAGCTAAGCCAATATCAGTTTCCCAACAGCAGCCATGGTCAGCAAGATGCCTCTGAGATGCTCCCAAAAGGTATGGCCGTGCAGGTAAGGGCTCCCTCCTTCTATAGTTCCCAAGTGGCTGATACACATTAGGACTATTGCATTGTGTTGCACTGATACGAGATCTACGATATTGGCGAGAGGATGAAAGCAAAGGAGAGATGAGAAAGGAAGGAATATCAAATTTCTGTTTACCATTTGCACAAACCGCAGGAGAGCCGTAAGACTTCTCATTTCCAATGCCAACACTCAGCAGCCCAAACGGTGTGCTAGGATGCTCTATTTTGTGGACTGTGTATCCTTGGCCTAACCTATAGGAAGCCCAAGAGTATTCAGTGCCTGAAACCAGATTCCACTGAAGTCCACGCAGCGGCCTCTTATCCAAGGTGATCTCAGAAGTCTCTGATGATTTGACAATGATCAGCGCATAGTTGTCAAATTGCTCATGCCCGTAGATGTAGTATGCCTGACAGTAGCTGGAGATGTCGGGGATGGCCATCAAGAAAGGGTCATATCTGATGTTCTGATAGGTGCCACCATCATTAAAAAACATGACTTGGATGCCAGATGTAGCTGAGAGGAACATGGCCGTCATGCCCTGGATGCCATAGAAGGCTGTTCGTCCAGCAGGTAAATTACGGCTGCGCTTGCTTTGTCCAGTCTGAGCGTTAACAAGTGTGTTTTGGGAACTGGAAACATACACAATGTCATGCTCTGTATTAAAAGGTAAAGAGGGGATGATGAAGTTGGTGCCCCAGCTGGAAACAGGTAAAAGCTGCTCGAAAACATGGTCACACTGGACTTGCCGAGAGACACACGTGTGCCCAGAGTAGACCGCCACTGGTTTTTTGGAGATGATTTTAGTGCCGGAGAGATCCACCTGACTATGCAGCTGGACAGCTTGATAGGGCTGAAGTGTCACGGTCAACTTGCTTCCTTGGATGTAGACTTTTCTTTGGAACGTCACTGTACCTTTCAGATGGACCTCAATCTCTGTGGATTCTTCCCAGGCTATAATGGCAACCTGTCTGTAGCGATCTGTGCCCACATTTGGGGTGACAACGTAATATTCAGTGCCTAAGCTTGTCATGGGATAGACAATGGTTGTATCAGCTGTGTGGGGTTTGTAATTAAGAGAGAGGATGGAAATGTCCTTGTCTGCACGGATGGTGAGCGTGTTGTCAAAAAATCCACTTCCATACATCTCTGCCTCTGGTGGGATTTTCACTGACAGTGTCTGGCCGCCATTCACGTTGACCGCTACCCTCAGCGCAGGCTGCTTCATGGAAATGGTAACGAAAGTGGACGGGAAATAGCCTGTGATCAGCAGTTTAAAATCACTCTGGGACATCCGTGGCAAACCATTCTGCATGAAAGCTGTGATGAACTCTCTTCCTAGTGGGCCCGAAGAAGTGGCGACTGGAAGCATATTTAACATAACCCAGACAGCGCCATTTAGAATTCCTAAACAGAAAGATAAAAGGTTAGAGTAAACTAACGAAACTTTCTGTTGTAGAAGGTAGCTACGTTAGTCTGGTTCAACCTGTGGGTTCCCAACCTGCGGGTTGTGGCCCCCACACAAATGGGTCACAAAGTGTTTTCTGCAGGTTTTGCCACAGTTATTTTTAATTGCAATTGGTTTTACAGGAATTTTCACCAAAGATTTTCAGCACTTGTTTATTGCCCAGACACAAAGACAAATATTAACCTAAATATTAGGTTAGAATCTTTAAAAAACTAATTTTAATGTTTTCTTTATCCCATTAAAATGCCTTTTTGTTCAAATTTGGTATGTGTGTGTGTGTCACAGGTCACATGCTGTTGTGTGAGCCTCGTGGCACAGTGATTATATTGTTGTACTCCAGCCAAAACTGATCTCACGACCCAGGGTTCAATCCTAGCTGGCCAGCTCAAGGTTCACTCAGCTTTCCATCATTCAAAGGTAGGAATGATGCCCCCGCCTAGCTTGCTGGAAGGGGGCAGAATATGTAGCCTGCATAATTAACTTGTAAACCACCCAAAGAGTGCTTTAAGCGCTACCGGGCAGTATATAAGCAGCACATTTTATTACGAAAGGGGGCTATGCCTCAACAAAAGAGGTTGTTATGTATATGAAAAACAAACAAAAACAAAAGATTGTGAGACTTAGGAAATTATTTTCAATACTTTTGAAGTATTAAAAATACTCAACAAAAAGTGTTATTTACATTAAAAAATTGTGTCTGAGCAAGTGGGTTGTAATCAATAAAATCTCACATTGGTCAAAATCATGTTGCTTAGCATAACAAATTGCACTGCTGTAGGCCCGTTGAATTAATGGGTAATTGGTGAGTCAATTATTCCATAAGTTCAATTGATTCGAATGGACCAATTCTAATTGCAATTTACTATGCTAATTTAATTCAATAATTTACTTTGTTAAAAAAAGGATTTTGGCCATTGAAATAAATTTGACAGTTTCTAAGATCATAAAATCATAGGATAATTGAGTTGGAAGAGGCTTATAAGGCCATGGAGTCCAACCCCCTGGTCAATGCAGGAATCCAGATCAAAGCAGATCTGACATGATTGTCCAGTTTTTCTTGAATGCCTCCAGTGTTCTACCTCCTCAAATAATTGGTTCCATTGTCATACTGCTCTAATAGTTTAAATGTTTTCCCCCCTGATATTCAGCTTAAATCTGGCTTCCTGTAGCTTGAGCCCATTATTACATGACCTGCACTTTGAGATGACTGAGAACAGACGCCGTAGTATGTTTGCTTTTAGTTTTGTTTATATGTTTTCTACTGAATTTTAAGATCTTGTTTAAAATAAATGTTCCTTTATATTATGGGAGTGGACAGAAAGAAATTAAGGCCTTTGTTAGACAGATGAGTTTGCTTTGTCATGAAATTTGAAAAAGTTCTTTTTCTGCAAAGTGGTAGACTAACTGGACTCGAGAGTCCCCTGGACTGCAAGGAGAACAAACCTATCAATTCTAAAGGAAATCAACCCTGAGTGCTCACTGGAAGGACAGATCCTGAAGCTGAGGCTCCAGTACTTTGGCCATCTCATGAGAAGAGAAGACTCCCTGGAAAAGCCCCTGATGTTGGGAAAGTGTGATGGCAAGAGGAGAAGGGGACGACAGAGGATGAGATGGTTGGACAGTGTCTGCGAAGCAACCAACATGAATCTGACCCAACTCCGGGAGGCAGTGGAAGACAGGAGGGCCTGGCGTGCTCTGGTCCATGGGGTCACAAAGAGTCGGACACAACTAAATGACTAAACAACAACGGTAGACTATGAAACTCTAGGATATTATCTTCATTAAATCTGCCTTCCTCACCCCCAGTTTCAATATTTTGACCCATCTATGGAATTATCTGATTGGTCTTGATGAATCCATTGCCTCTTTTTATCCCAAAATTCCTAGCAGAAAATGTGACCACTAAAATTGAGCAAAGGATATACTGTAAATTAACCACCATCTCTTTTGAAATTAGGTGGGAAAGAAATCTGACTAATATGTATTAAGATACCAGTAAGTTCCAGGCATCTTCTGGTAACCATCATTTCCTCCGTAGTAAGTTGTGTCCTTTTGCATTTTGAGAAACAGGGGGTGAGGTTGCCTATCAGCATATGAGATAAATAATGGCACCGTTCATAGGCAATCGGAGCACATGAGGGGTGAGGTTGCCTATCAGCATATGAGATGAATAATAGGCAATCGGAGCACATGGTGAATGGCCTTTCCTGGCATAATAGAACCAGAGCAGGCACCTAGAGACTGCCAGAGGTCTTGCATTCCTTCTATAAACCTCAGCCAAAGTGGTTGAGGTGGTTTATGGTTGAGGTAGTCCAAGACTCCTGGAGGTCACGAGCTTGCTTGCCCTTCCTGTAGGGCAATTTAAGTCTCTATGGGCCTTTATATGTGTGTGTCCCTTTGCATAAGAATGATACACATGGACTGTGAAGCTTTCCAAGGATGTTTGGTGTCCAAACTGCCTGAAAACAGCAGAGAACAAAAAGATCATACTGTTCCATTCAACATGTCAGAAGGGGAATCCAGTATATACTACAAGTGCTCGGTCTTATATTCAGTGCTGAGTTATACAGGCCCCAGAGTCTCACTGATTTGTGAAACTGATTTGGCATAAATTCTATAGATATATAGCCAGGAGTATGAGGTTTCTTAGCTTTGCCTCTAGTCCAACATTATTCTCCATGAAGAGCTCAATGAACATCAGTGATGTCACTGGCTATATAGAGTACTTACCCCATAGTACCGAAAACTTGGCCTGTAGGTTGATCATCTCCATGATTGACAGTGTACTAACGGAAGCTGAAAAATAAGTTTTGAAGTTAGTCTGGAACACTCAGTCCTTCTAACAGGGCAGCCTCCCATCTTCTGTCTGGCAGCAGAAAATAGCTGGATTTGTGAGCTGTGTTTGTGAGCAAGTGAGCCACGATCCGCTGGGATTTGTGTGATTCAGAAGCTAAAGATCCTCACATCCTGGCAAGTTAAATAAAAAATAACAACATTTTGATTTCCCAACATAAGTGTGAAGATGAATGCGGCCACACTCCTTAAGTATGGAGAAAGCAATATTATTGATGATTTTTTTTTTCGTATTGCAAATCTACAAATCTTAAACTGCAAATAATTTCAGTCCATACATCATATCCTTTTATATTTCAGAGTATAGAATATTTCATGTCTATAGGAATGTGACTCTGCCCAGACCATTCTGCTTTCACTATTTGTCCAGTTATCTAGCTGGGCTCATCTTTCAAAAACAGAGGAAAAAGCACATCAACACAACGGCTTCTTTAATGGTTTAAGTGCTTTCATTTTGAATTCCATTGTACTATTTTATTATTGGCTAGTTAAATAGCTCAGTGGTTTAGACATCTGGGTGTGGAACCAAAGGTTGGGAGTTGGATTCCTCACTGTGCCTCCTACAAGTAGAGCCAGCCTGTGT